ACATTTCATATCTTCTCTACATATAAAGTAATTGAATCATAACCAAGTGGCTTTATTTTCAAATCTGACCTGTATGACCATATTTTACACTTTCATTGCATTATTTTCCATCCAATACCTATCGAGTGATCGAGGTGCTTATGGTCAATATTTGTAAATCAAGTGTGATATCTCAGATACAGCTGGTCCAAATTAAATGAGACTTGAAGGGTAGAACACTTTGGAACTGCCACTTCAGTGGTTTGACAATATTACAGTTGGCTTAATGAGAATTGGGCACCAAAACATTCTCTCTTGAAGCAGAAAGATTCACTGCACCTGCTCTTGGTCTATGTAGGGCAAACTGGCCAAATTTAACAATAATATTAAATTATATTCCAAAAGCACAATGAGACACAAGGGGCTTTAATAAAAACCCAAATATGATCAAAACAAAACAAAGGTAAACACAATTAAGTACATTAAATACATTAAAGAAATATGAAAAGATAAAATAAATATTTGGTAAAAACACTTTAGGAGAAAGCAAAGAGAAAAAGATTTTGTTGAAACGTATGGATAGATTTATATTCCTACCTTTGAATGAAAATCTTATTTACCAAAGATAGTCATTAAAGAACTGATTCTAATTGATATGTAATATGTAATAAGTTCAAAAATGTAATTAAATACACACACACACACACACATACATACACACACAGATACACCAATACCACCACAGTTTATGGGAACTAAAGCAGTGATTGATCCTTGACATTTTGGCCATACCACCACTTTCTGTCTCATCTCTGATAAAACCATAGATGCAACAAAAGTGTCTATTACCATCCCTGAATATGAATACTCAAGTTTAAGTGAATAAATATTGTACATACACATGTGCAAAGTCGAGCACAAACACATACCACAGATGTCTCTTGGGGTGTCTCTTTTTATGTCTTGTGGCATCTACTTTCAGAGCACAAGGAGGCCAGAACCAAACAGTCTGTTACCCAAAAACACTCGTTCCACTGTGTCCAGGAAGCCAAAATAAAAACCCAGAGCTGCCGCAGTGAGGGAGCGTTTCCTGGACTTTCTGATTTAGTATGAATAATCCTGCAGTGAAAATAACATCTCAGTGAAGCTACAGTGTGTACAAAAGGAGGAAAATAACTCCAAACTAAGCATTCAGGTAATAAATTTGGGGTTGATATTGATTATACTTTATTGCATTAAATGATCCAGTATCTGGTTTCTTATTTTTTTCTTTCTGATCTTTTCAGAGTTTTTTTTGCTGTTCAGTTCACCTTTTTATGTTTTTTCTTTAACATCTGAGAACATGAAATGCTATACTTTCCTTTTGGTTTCCATATTGTAATATATAGGTATAAAAACGTCCCTAGCCTGGTTTTCCTTATGATTCCTGATGGATAATTGCTGGATGCAGGAGCCTAGTTGATGGTTTCAGAGAATGATCACACAGCGGTCCGCTCCTTCTCATTCTACATACATCAAAGCTCACCCCTGTAGTTTCTTATGAAAAGGCAGAACAATTTTCTTTTTTTGGCAGCTTTGTACGCAAACCCATAGACAGTACATTACCGCTGAATTTAAGCTAAAACATGGCCCTCGTACTTTAAGCGTATCCCTTTTCTGTTTGTCCGGAATTTAGTGTCCAGTGGGCATGTATTCTGGGGAAAAAGATAGTTTCGCCAGGCATCTTAAGAGCCCATGGGTCCAAAAACATCACACAGTGTAAAAGAAAAGTAGTTGGCACTGGCAGAAACCTGGCGAGTATCCACACCAAGGTCTATGGTATATACAGTAGGTCAAGCAGTGTATATGATTTAAGCTATCAGTGGGCTGAGCCTTAAATTTGAGAATATTTACAGCAACAAATTACAAACGTTTCATGTTTCACAAAAGATTTCCTTCTAGTTAAGGTAGCAAAATGTCAAAAACAGTAGACACTAAAAGTCACCACTGACAGTCTAACTAATAAGACAATAAGCAGCTCTTTAAGATAAATATCCAATGCTAAGGAAACCATAGAATATGTTTGACTTTAAATGATGACTTCATTTATCAAAAATAAGATTAAACAGTTAAGTGAATAATATAAAGTATTTCCTTTTTTTAAAGAAAGTTCTTGTGAAACTTGATAAACACACATCCACAGGTCTGAATTTGCTCGATCAAACGGATATAAGCAGCTGCATTTATCCTGTCCTGCCACTGTTTTATCACATTGATGCAAATTTTATCAACCTGATGGATTTTTCTCACTTTTATTTACAATAATGGGTTATAATGATAAAGCCAGTCTCCCCTGTCAGACATTTACTATCCTCCTCACTGCTACACTCAATAACAACGACAGCATTGCTGCACTGGCACAAATGTTTAGTTTTTAATGTATACTTATAGCAGGTTTGTGTTTAGTCTGCTGCCATAGTTTACCTCTTATCTACACTGTAAGTGAGGTCCTTCTTCTGCTTTTTCTCCTGGTGGGTCTGACTTGCAGTGTATTCAGAATAAGTAAGATACAAGATAGGTATGATGAAGATATGAAGTTTGATCAGTTTTGGCCATGATACTGACGATGCATTTAAAATTATTTTTTCTTCTTTTAATTATTGTTAGTATATTTATTTAAGTTTATGTTTTCCACCATGGGGTTGTGCTTATAACCGGTCAACAAGCATATATAATAATACCTTGATGTATAGTGTAGTATACTAGGATGGTGTCAGGCTAACATAAATAATACCTTCCCATACACAAAGAATTTAAAGGTGAAATATAAATTAAAATAACTAGTCTAGTTCTTTAATAGTTATAAGAGTTCTAATAAACTACTAATTTGATTTCTACAAAATAAGATAACTGTATGACCCACCTTACACATGTAGGTCCATTAGGCACACATTACTGTGTTTAACTGATCAAGTCTGTTTTTCCACCAATCTTAGTCAAGTCATTTGAACTTCACACTACTTACCCTATCAAAACTAAGGGATACTAGGAAATTCATTTTCAGTACTTCTAAATCTTTGGGGATTTATTAAACTTTTTACTGTGTTTGCTTTTATTTTTTATTTTTTGTATTGCTGCTGAGCCCTTACAAAGAATGATAGTAAGGGCCGTTAACATAGAAATAGCACAGAATGCAAACACATCCCGCTCCTTATCCCCTCAGAGAAATCAGACAGACATGGGGAAGAAATGAAGGGTACTGAGAAAGAGTGAGTGGTATAGAGCATCAAGGGATAATTATGGTTAATTACTGCTTTCTGGATGTGGAGTCTGCAGTCAAAGAAAGTGACTAACCATGGGCTGTGTGAGTGCAGAAACATTTACAAGGCAGACAGGGGGTAGCTTTGAAATATAGAAGATGCTGATGGGTGTTTATGACAGGTAGGGATATAAAAGCAACTTTGAAATTATGAAAGGAATGTCTCTTTGAGATTACTACTAAAGTTGGTTTAAAGTTTATGTCCCAGAGGTTTCATATTTTGTCAGTGGAAAATAGACACTAAACTTGGAAAGGAATGTGGTGTTTATATTGTTTTGGATTTTCAGGTATTCTCTTACAGATATCACAAAAGCACTACATACATACAGTGTTATTACTGTATAATACAATTTAATTCGATAGCTTTAAAGTAAATGGTTTGTTATTGGTAATTTTGAACTAAAAAGCAGTATCTCTTAACTAGAAAGGATTTCTGCTTTCATATGAGATTTCTGAGATAGATACAGTATTTTAATTTATCTAATTTCATTTCACTTCACTAATATCAAATAATCTTGAAATTTATCATCATTTCTTGTAACTAAGTAATAATTTCCTGGTGTATTGCCAGCTGGGCAGCAGGTGAAGGCAGGGTCTTGGCCAGTCAGATCTAAACCCAAGTGGTGCTTTAGACTTAAGGTTTGGAAGGTTGTTGTTGGTGACTGAAGCTGCTTGGCAAACACAAGTTCATTACACACTACACACTGATTTACAAATTATGTTTACTCATGTCTGTTTTTCTTAGGCCTTTCATCTCCCTCTTCCTCTCTATCTGTCCTCTTCCTCTCTCTCCCTTCCAGTCTGTCTCTCTCTTTCTGCGCACCTGAGCTGATGGTGCAAAACAAGGCCACGTGGGACTGACCAATCAGAACCAGATGAGCCCTCCAAGGGTCGAGTGAAAGGGGCGTGGTGAGGAGCGCGGACAGAAGTCTGATTGGCTGTCTGGACGCTCAGTCTTCTGTGCTGGCTCAGCGCGGTGAGTGGTCCTGCTGTCTTATCTACCGTTGACCTGCAGGTTTCTTATGGGTTATAAAGCCAGAATTTTCATGCCACAGATGCAAAAATAATAAAGTAGGAAGTATAAAAGGTAAAGAGAAATACACTGTTTTGTTATTATTGGAATTTTTAGAGAAAATCAGTGACAGAAAATGTTTAAACTGCTGCCATGAATCCAGTGAGCAATATTAAACCACTAACTCACAGCTGAAAAGAAAGACGCCATTGTTGTGTGTGTGTGAGGTGAAATATTTGTATAGGCTTACCATTAAAAACGTTCAATTCACACTCTCAGACGCTTCTCCGTACACGTAGATCTACGTGCGCCTAGGGCGCAATTACGCACGCCCTCTCTCTTCCCCTTTGCCATTTACTCTCTCTCTCTCTCTCTCTCTCTCTCTCCACACACACACACGCTCGCACTCTTCGTGGGAGTAAGTGTGTAAGTAAAGAAGGGGAGAGAGAGAGAAGGGAGAGAGAGCGTGATTCCAGGTCTCTCTCTGCTGCTCTCTCCACTTTGGGTACTCGTACCCAGTTTGACTCAATGGGGCTTTAGCACTAAGGGGTTAAACGTTAAAATAAAAGATATTTATTCACCCCAAACCCCCTTTAGTGTTTAGGTTTTGTGCATTAACATAGACAGACATAGGTAACTCATTAAGGAAAGTCTCCGGGAGAGAGGTAGAGACGTCTCCAGAGGCGTGCCTTTTTGTCTCTTGCCTCGCAGAGGGTTCAGTCGGGTGCCTCTCGTCGGCTGGCTTTCTGTGAGAGGATAACATCCACCATATCCTGCATTTACAGCACAACCAGGCCGGCAAACTACTGCAACACTATGGATACTGGAGATTGTGCCTTCCGGAAGAAACGGAGACCATGGCGCATGGACTTCTCATCCTTCGCCTTGGTAATCGTGGCGCTCGCCCTGTGCCAAACGACCGTGGTTCGGGCAGGTAAGATGGATTCTCTTATTAATAGTTGTGGTGTTTGTTTTGCTTTTTAAACTAGACTTGGTAAGATTACTTTGACACTTTTAGTGTTTTTCCGTTTCAAACGTGGTCATTCTTCGCCGTCTGACTGGAATTACCGTGCGTAATAAACCTCATCCAGTATTGGACACTTGCGCACCTGACATGCTTCTTTACATTGTACCCGAGAAACATTGTCAACATGCTTCAACAACAATAAACCCACAGAATCCAGTAATTTAGATTTTTACATATTTTGAAGTTTATCTCTGCTTTCTGTACTGAGTCAAATTCATAAAGTATCCCAGGGCGACTTGCATTTGCTCCCTGGTTCCTAAAGGAAGTTGGAAAAAACGAATAAGTGATGCGAGGGAAATTAGAGTGTCCGATAATGGACCTAAGATACTTTAGGAGATTTGAGGCGCAGCGTCTGTAAAGATCCATCCCCTAAAACAAACAAAGATAATAATGACACCAATGCCATTTCTGTATATTAAAAAAGTACTTTTTCTTATTGGAAAGTTGAACTCTCACCAGCCTCAACATACCCTGTCCGATAATGGATGTTACAGATGCTACAGGCTCTTTAATAGCATTTTAATCGTTTTTTGTTTTTGTTTTTTGCTGCAGGAAAACTTACAATTGCGTTATTATGTTTCAAATAAAAGTTTTTTGTTGCTTCTCTGAACACAGTTTCTCCCGTTGTCTCCCTCTCTCGGCTTGCATGCAGCCTGCTGACAGGTGTCATCCCATCAAGCGGCTGAGCTCACAGTTTTCCGGCACTCGGGTGCTTTTTAGTCATTTGGAACTATTTGCCTGATATTTACTTTTTCTGTTTATCTTAATGTAAACTTAATTTCACTACTAAGAACCCCATTCCGTTTTGACAGGGTGGTGTCCATTTTACGCACTTCGGCAGGCCCCCCATCCGCAGGGGGGCATGGGGTAGGACGGTGCAAAGAGCCACTGCAGTGGCTTTTGAGGAGGTTTATCGTTTAAACGCCTCGTTTGTGATATTTGTACTAGTATTTTTCTGTATTGAAACTGAATGTCGGCCTGTGAGTAAACTGGGCTGTGGATAGAGGCTGCCAGCAGGGACTGAGAGGTTGGCTGGGTGTTTACCAGTTCAGCCTGTGCACCAGTCCATCCATCACTGCCTCTGCCTGCAGGGAGGAGGGATTTCTGCATCAAGTTTGTGAAATGCGATTATAAGCTTATGGAAAGTTCCCTGCGTAGAACAACAGGCTATATTTGTGGTTTTAAGAACAAAGATAAGAACATTCATAATGAGAAGAATTATTGATTTAGACGTTAGAGTTTAGAAGATCTTTGACATTTTTCACAGTCGACAGTTGTCAGTACTGTTTTACTTTAAGGTTTAACTTCTTGTAAAGTTTATGCCCCCTCCTCTCCCCTCACTCTCTAAAGGTATAGATTAGTTCGCCTGAAAGGAATGATCTGTATGTGCTGCAGTTCCCCCACGGACCACTGGTCGTCTAGAGTTATTTTTAACACAGAGAATCCATTGATTCACCTGAGTCCAGATCAGTTCAGATGTGACTGAAGGCTTTTGATGCGGAATGGCACGCGGCACGTTAATAAAAAAAATTAAAAAAAATATAAAGATAAGTTATTTTAAGTGCAGCAACGCGAGGTGAAATTGTGATGTCTGAATATGATATTTTGTGAGGTTTCAATGAACCTTTGAATTGATGAACTTGTCATTTTCGTTCGACTACAATGGATCTGAAACTGGTTGGAATAAGATTTGGATCTTCTGGCTATTGTTGTATTTATTGTTCTTATAGCAGCGACCTTGGCTGAGACACGTCATGCAGATTTTGAACAGAAACACAAAAGCAGGTTTAGTTTACTCAAACGTTTTTGGACAAATTGATTTGGTTTAGAAGTTTCAGTTGACAGATGGATCAATGGCTCTTTATTCTTCCTGTGGATAACCTGCGGCGACAGCTTACGGACCAAGGGGGCTTTTGTAACATAAATTGCCCTTCTCCAGTGTATTCTTTGGCCCCGTTTCCAATTTCAGATTGCGAGAGGCGATTGCACCTTCCCGTCGTCTCCCGTGTGTATTTTGGAGGCGGAAGCCTCAGACATTTTTGCTTTTTATGAATAGGTTATTATGCGGCGGAGCACCTCGGTCGCAGGGGTTTGGGAGTGAAAGCGTTCAGTGTCTCCCTGTCTGTGTGCGCTTTGTACAGTTCTGTTTGTGTATATGTGTCTTTAAGCTATGGATGTTTTCCCCAGTTCAGGGTGTGGAAATGTATGCCATCAGTGTGAATGTGCCTCTGTGTGCAACACCTCGGGCAGGTTGTATTTCTCATCTTAAAGGATGCCTATAGAGGCGTTGTGCGCCGGGAGGTGTTCCTTTGCTCGTAGAAAAAAGTTTTTTAATCATCTGACGCTGTGATAATGTCAGAGTGACGCAAATAAGCACGCCTTTTACCTGTAAGCGCGTGCCTGGTCACCTACGCGCATGTGCATGTGTAATAGTTCTCACAATGGATTATATGCGCATAGTTGGCCAGATGCACTGGACCACTGCCTGGGCGGTGCGTCTGTATGCGCGTTCCTGTGTGCGCAATGCGGTGCAGCAGCGCAGATGTTAGTGTAAACTATAACAGCGCCCCACCCAAGCAGTGAAAGACCGATTTGGAGAAGAAAGTGGTCAGAATCTTTCATGTTTATTCTCTCTTCCCTGAGAGAATGAAGACTAGAAAAAAAGGAGGAGGGACGGATGAGGTACAGTCATTACCCAGAGAGCAGTGGGCCTAGAAAGGCATGAAAGCTGAGTTTTGTTCAAAGGAGAAGAAAATCAGAGGGCAATATTTTCTTGACATGGATGTTCCTCAACCTCATTTCAAAGCAGAGCGCTCCTCAAAGGGCAGTCTGTCTCTGCCTTGGCTAAACATAACTTAACCCCCCCCCCCCCCCTCTCTCTCTCTCTCTCTCTCTGTCGGTGAATAGAGCTCCTATGTGTGGTGGCAGTGCAGGGTTTTGACAGTTCATTCCTGTGACTGTATGGAAGTGTGTGGTATTTCAGGCTTCTGCTGATCACACGTGACTCAGTCTGGCAGCTTTAACTCTTGTCCCTTCTGCTTTATCATCATTTTCCCATTGGCCTGTGTGGCTCTAGTGATCTACATACTTTCTTCTTTTTTAAATATTCCTTGTTGTCTGCAGTAATGTGTCCATTTCATAATGTTGTACCTGCTAGTGTCAGATGCCTTATCCCCACCAGATGCATTGCACATAATTCTCAACAATCATCATTATGACACTGAAAAAGAGCTAGGAGCCCAAACCAATAAGATTTACTTTTCAGCCATGTAATTTGGGTAGTTATTGTGTAGTTGATCTGCCTTCTCTCCGCAAAATTAGATTTAGCTGATGTAGAAAGACCTTGTATAGCACCAAACCGACACACACACAGGTGTGTTTCAGCTGGATGAAGCATCTTTTTTTGCCCTGAGCTGCACCTTCCAGAAAGACCTTAATCGCATTCTGCATTCAAGATTGACAAACTCCAACCATAGCGTAACCCTAAACTTAACCATGTTTAATGTAAGATTACTTGATTGGTGGCGGAGCACAAGCTGGGAGGACAGGCTGCCTGGGATACTGAATTCATCGCAAATAATTTTATTTTTTCAAAGTGGCATGTTAGCATATCAGTAATGTTCAATTTACTATTAGCAAACAGTACAGCTGAGTCCGTAACACAGGCACAGCTAACACTGAAACAACTTTAGGCTCAGTTTAGTGATGATTTTAAAATATATTCGTTTGAATGGGAAGTGTGAAGTGTGAGGTTCCAATAGTTCTCTGTGTAACTCTGTCTCTTACAGGTTTAGACTGCAGAAAGGTTTAGGTATCTTTTTGGGCAGGAAATTGTAACTGTATACTAGCCATCACCACCATCACTCTCAATCACTCACTGGCTTCAACCACGGATGCAAAATTGCATCATTTGCATGGACAGATAAGAAACAGACTGTGGTTGTAAAATAAAAAACATGCAGAAGTCAAAGAAATCAAAGTAAGATACACATAAACACTTCTGAGGCCACGGTTCTAAACCATGACATCCCCTCAAACTGCGAACTTGTTAAAGCTTTTCTCAGACAAGACCGCGTTAGCACTGCAGACTTAAGTTGTCATACTGTAGTGAGTAGAAGATAGTTCTTTCGTCTTCCTTGGTTTCATAGGTGATGATTTAGTGGTTTGTGTGTGTGGATAGTTAGGCGTCTTCCAAGGCATTTTTCTTTAGCAGAAGATGTACAAGGAAGGCAGGAGAGTGTGCCAACTTTATAATGACAGACTGTCTGTATAGGATGCTATTCCTAGTCACTGTTATTTTGCTGCTTCTAGGAAGTCAGTGTAGGAGGGTGCAGGGACCAGCTGTGTGTTTTTACATGTAATGTTAATGTACATCTCTTCTCCAGACATCAGTACAGTCTATCCATTTGAAAATAGCTTTTAATGTTGGTGTAAGCTAGTTGTTTGCTTTAACTGGGATGACTAGACTTCAGTCCATCATATAATAGAAGACAGTAAAAAATACAGAAAACATGCCAGAAAACATGCCAGAAAGTAATAAATCACATTTTATAACTTATCTGGGACTATTTCAAGTGGCCCATGCAGTAATCCCCAATTATTGAATAATATAAGTATCATGCAACATTCCTTTATTCTTTCTCCATACATTTTTATTTCTAATTAGGCTCACAAGTGGACTGGAAGCCATCCCAGCATGCATTTGGGAGGAAGGCAGGGAAACACCTTGGAGAGATAAAACATGGGAAAAAAGAAAAATGTATTAACATTGCATACTATAATATCTTGACTAGGGCACTTAGTTTATCTTCAGATATGGATAAATCATTTTATCTACCAAATGCAATGAACATAAAGGAATTAGTGTTGGCAGCATTAGTGCAGTAACAAAAAATAAATACAAATAC